ACAGAGCCTGCTTCTTAGCCTCTGTCCCTCCCCACCCCTCCCCCGCTTGCTCTCTCTCTCTCTCTCTCTCTCTCTCTCTCAAAAACAAACATTAAGGGAAAAAAAGAAAGAATCACAAGAGCTTTGTGGTATATAACAGAAGTTTATTTTGTGCGGCATTAAAAAATGGAGTTTGGCAATAAGGCTGATCGTGTGACCCATGCCACAATAGGACGTTGAGTTAACTTTTCCTGTGACCATGGAATTCGAACTAGTGTCCACAGCTGAAACCATGAAGTACAAAGTGATCCACATTCTTTTTTTTTTTTTTTAATGTTTATTTATTTCGAGAGAAAGAGAGAGAGAGGGAAGGAGAGAGGGATCGAGCGGGGTTGGGGGGGACGCAGAGAGAAAGGGAGACAGAGAATCCCAGGCAGGCTCCACGTTACCAGCGCAGAGCCCAATGCGGGGCTCGAACCTAGGAACCATAATAAGATCATGACCTGAACTGAAACCGAGAGTCGGACACTCAACCCACTGAGCCACCTAGGTGCCCCCGAGGTAATCCACATTCTAAACAGAGAAGCCAACAGCTGGCTCGGCTACCCTCCCTGGCCTTCCCATCCCAAGGGCTTTCTGAGCAGTCATGCAATGGTAGCCCCTCGCCCTGTCCCCTGTGGCCTGAGAGCATGAGGAAGAAGACACTTCCTGTAGCTCCTCATAGTGGAGGACAGAGGGCACAAGGTGAGCTAAAGCTGGTGGCTGTCCAGGCTTCCCAGGCAGCCAGGGCACTCCCAAGGGGCTCTGGTACACAGACAAGGTCGTGGGGCTGTCCCCCACTCTGGGGCTAAAGGAAAACATGGTGCTGCTTTCTGATGGGTCTTCAGTGATGAAGAAGGCTTGGACGAGGCTGATCCCCGAACCCCAAGGGACCACATCCAGGACAGATCCAAATGTTGTGGCTTCAAGCTGATCCAATTTTGAAGGTCCCCTCTAAGAAAACGAAAACAAAACTTGGTGGGGGAGGGTGCTTGAAAGGGGCTTGTGCAGGTGAAGGACCATAAAGCTTCAGCTTTCTTAACTTTGTGGTGAGCCCGCGTGCGTGTGGGCAGGGACTGTATCCCCAGCTGGTGGCAGCAGTAGCCGAGCCAAAGTGACAGCAGGGGAGTCTCCCCAACAGGTGGCCAGTTCAGCTTCCTCTGCATTCCTCACTTGAAGAGTGAGGGGGTAGGGATTCTAGGATTCGATTATGTCCCCATGACCCTCCCCTCCTGACCAAAGAGCCAGAGTTGGGGGGGAAGGAGCAGACATGTGCTATCAGCCCCACCCACACCCCCAAGTCCTTGACCCATGTGGTGAGCCCACATTTGGAGCAGATAGGGGATTGGAGTTCTCAACTGGCCTTTTGAAGGCACTGATTGGAGAAATGTAAAATGTGTTCGTGTCCATATCCCACCAAGTCAAAACTTTCTTTCTTTTTTTTTTTTTTTTTTGATGTTTAAATTTATTTGTTTTGAGGGAGAGAGAGAATCCCAAGTAGGCTCCGCACTGTCAGTGTAGACCTTGATGTGGGGCTTGGATCTCATGAGCCATGAGATCGAGACCTGAGCCGAAATCAAGAGTCAGATACTTAACCTGCTGAGCCACCCAGGCACCTCTGAGCCAAGACTCTTTAATAATCTGATTCCAAAGACATTGATTCAGAGTTTAAATCGTGTGTTTGCAAAAAAGAATCAAGAGGGCAAGGAGCAGGACTGCCTGTCAGATAGACATCTCCAGAGCACCCTTGAGAGGCACCCCAAAGCCCAGAGTCTGAACTCCTGGGTTTGCTGCCTGATCTCAAGATTTGCCAGAGATGTGGTCTTTGACAAGTCATTTTGCCACTGGGGGCCTTGGGTTTCATGTGTGTCAAATGGGTCATCTGTGGATTAAAGACAGAACATGGGGAGATGCTTTTTGAAGGGCTGGATCGAAGTCCCCTGTGAGCAAAATGTGGAAATGCTTGGACAGCGTGCCCGTCTCTGGGCCCAGGGCCAAAGACACAGGCTTAGGGATGGGTGATGAGGTCGAATACCCCTGGCAGAGATGACAAATGGCTTTGCTTTGGAAGGGGTGAGTCTCTAGACTGAGAAAAAACTTCTAGGAAACTAGGTGTCCCAGATGACACAACTGCTCCTCCCCTGATTTGTCTACTTCCTTCCCCATGTCGGGAGCGGGGAAGCCATCTGTCCTACCCTAACCAGCCCGTCAAGGTCCAGCCACTTAACTCTGGAAGATGTTGATGTCCAGCACTGTGCTGAGCTCAGACCGCACCACGCTCTCATGTGCCTTGTCTCTGATGCAGGACTTGGAGGTTCCTCCACCTTCTAACTGCTGGGCCAGCACCAGGGTCCAGACAAGGCTACAAGGCTGTTTGCGTTTTCTCCCCCTTCCGGTCCTGGCCTTTCCCATAACTGCAGTTTTTAGGACCAGTCATACCACAGGGGAAGGGCCCTGGCTGACTCCTGATGGAGTAAGGGCGTGGAGACTATCTCCTCTTGGTTGCTCATCCTTCTCTCACCATCTCCCTCCCAAGCCAGGCTTTTCTTCTTTTCTTGCTTGTTAAACCAGTTCCATCCCCACTCCACCATAACCCTGAGGAGTGTGTCAGGACACTTCTGGCTGCACAAAACAAAACCCAATTCAATCTGGATTAAGCCAACAACTAGCCCATGGTGCTCCAACTGGATCTGGCTTTAGGCCCAGAGTGGTGGAGAGACTCCAGCAGTGGCAGCGAGACATGGTCTCTGCCCATCTATCAGCTCTGCCCTGTCATCTTTGCTGGGTGTCCTGCCCTCTCAGCAACCCCAGAGAAAACAGGCAACTTCTTCACCTAGCTTCCAGCTGTGTCTCAGCACTAAGCCTGGCCCCGGTCATCTGTCTGCCCTTGGGGCAATTCCAGCAGCAGAGGAATGGAATGATTGGAGGTGGGGGGTGGGATAGGGCCTGGGGTCAGTTCCATGGGGACTGAGGCTGGGGCTGGGGGAGGACAGGAAGGCACCACAACCAATGCCCCTCATGAGTCATCATGTCGGAAACATCAAGCTTGGGGCAGAGACAGTGGGGCTCAGAGAAAATGGATGACCAGTGGGCTGGTCACCCACTGGTGACTTTGGGATGTCTGTGCTGCTTGAATGCCCCACGGCAGGCTCTTGAGGGATGAGAAGTGGAATGTGGGTTGTGAAGTCCTGCCCGGTCTGCTGTTACAGACCTTAGCTTCTACATTCACAGGCCCTGCTCCTTCAGTCTTGGACTCTGGCTTCCATGGGTCATGGTCATAGAATAACTGCTCTTACCTCCCTTCCCCTCTCCTGCCGGCGATCACACGATGAGACCACACCACCCTCTTCCAGAGCCTCAGAGACCCTGGTCTTTTCTCGAAGCCTGAAAAGCCTGGGGCTTCCCTGCCCGGTCCCCTCAGAGCAGACCCCCTGAGCGGAATGGCAGCTCACTGCACCCTGCCTCGGGCATCTCCAGGGCTCTTCCCCTCTTTGAAGCCCTCCCTAGCAGTGCCAGGTGTGGGTCCTGCAGGGAAGAGGGTGTAGAGACCATCCAGGCCAAAAGGATCACACACCACGAGATGGAAGAAAGCACACCTTTATTTCAGCCGCCACTCTCCCAACACCGTGGCACGTGGCCTGGCATCCACGGCGCACAGCCCAGAAGATCCCAGTGCACACGGTCCCACAATGTGGCGCCACAGATCTCCCAAAAGGGGTGCCTGGGGTCCACTGCAGGTGGGGAGGGGGAGCACGGCCCGGACCCTGAGGAGCAGCAGAGAAAAAGTGCCAAGTGAGCCCCGGGACGTGGGAGTCCCAGCTCACAGGGTGGAAGCAGCCGCGGGAGGGCCCTGCCGTGGCCGTCACTGGTCCCAGCTACGGAGCCATCCCAAAGGCGAGGACAGCCCCAGGCGCGGGCTCCTGGCTCAGGCCACCTGGCAGAGGTAGTGTAAACACGTCTGAAGGTGGGGAGCGCCTGATGGCCAAGCCAGGTGCTCTCTGGGGCTGGGAGGTGCCCGGGACCCTGGAGCAACAGGAGCGAGCAGGTGAAGAGGGCCTGAGTCAGAGGGTACCGGGGCTCTAGGAGACTGACCGGACCCAGGAAGGAAGGTTGCGCAGAAATGGGGGCGCTGCGGGGACAGGTAGGGAAAAACCGTGGGCAGAGCGGGGGAGACTGAGGGAGAGGGAGAGACAGGGGCAGAGGAGCAGAGAGGAGACTGCGGCTAGACCTTCCCCGCCCTTCTCTCACCAGCTCTGTGAGCCCTGGGGTGGGCCTCAGCTCTCCAACCTCCGCCAGGCCCCTCCCGGCTCACATCTGCCCAGCTGCGACCGGGGTCTTGGGACCAGGCAGAATGGAGGGTGGGAAGGGACGCGCTCAGCCCTGCGGACTCCACCTCTACCCCAAACTGGATTCGGGGCCCAGCTCCTCCTCCCCTGGGAAGTGTCCTGCCCCAGCCTGTCCGCGCTAGTCTCCTCCCAGGTCAATGCTGCCCTGAGGCTCCCCTGAATCACAGGCCATTAACTACCACAGGCGTCCCCCAGGTGGGATGGAAGGCGAGAGAAAGAGTCAGGGTGGGGGATGGGGAGGGGCTTAGCAGGGAGGGTGGGGGCGCTGCCTGGGAAGAGGCTGTCTGCCCTCCATCCCTGGGACCGAAGTCCAGACAAAATCTGAAGAGAGATGCTTAAGAATGTGCAGAATTTAGGGGCGCCTGGGTGGCGCAGTCGGTTAAGCGTCCGACTTCAGCCAGGTCACGATCTCGCGGTCCGGGAGTTCGAGCCCCGCGTCGGGCTCTGGGCTGATGGCTCAGAGCCTGGAGCCTGTTTCCGATTCTGTGTCTCCCTCTCTCTCTGCCCCTCCCCCGTTCATGCTCTGTCTCTCTCTGTCCCAAAAATAAATAAACGTTGGAAAAAAAAAATGTGCAGAATTTAGAAAACTGTGTGCGCGTGCAGGCAGGGTTTTTAAAAATCTTTTAAAAAAACGTGCAGGGTTTTTAAAAATCCTTAACTCATCGTCTCCCAACTCGGCGAAAAATGTTTTATAAGTTGTACTGACTGACTCACCCTACAGCACCACCTCAAGTGACCAGAACCTACAAGTGCTGCAGTTGAGGTCTGTTATATGTCCTCTCTCTGCCTCTAGGAAGGACGGGGAGGCTGCTAGGCCGTGGATTTCACAGGTCGGGCAGAAACAACCTCCAGAAGCACCTGCGGTCCCAGCGGCAGTTCCCAAGGGCCCTGAGCTAAATGCCTAAGGGCGCCAGGCAGGTACGTAAGGGACATCCGGAAACTCTTGGGTCTTGGCGGGTGGGGACCGTTAGAACTAAAGAATAAAGCCCCAGAGAAAATGATCAGTGGCTCTCTAGCTCCAGCAGAAAAGCCAGCAGTGGAACTTTTTGATTTCAGAGAAGAGGGAAGTTTGGTATACGTTTTTTAGAAAATGTGAATCTCTTGATTGCTAAACGTTAGCTCAAAATTAGAACAAAACTTCCCCCACAGGCCAACAAAACCAGTCTCGGCGAGTTTCTAGCCTGGTTTTTATGAAATCTTAGAGATTTTTAGGCTCACTTAGTGACACGATTCGTGAACGTTCGTTCAGGTGCACAGAAACACCCTGAGGGAACTTGTTAAAAATGCGGATTCTGAATCGACAGGTCTGGGCCCGCAAGTCTGCATTTCTAACAGGCTCTCAGGTCATGTCCCTGCCCCTGGCCCGGGAACCACACTGTGCGTGGTGAGCATTCACCCTTCCACCTGGAAATTCTCTCGGACGCTATATCCCTGGCCATGCCTGCTTGCTGACCTGGGAGGGACTGAACACTCACTACACCTGTAGGGACACTCTGGGCGGCTGCCGCTGCCACTAACTCCTGCCACGGCCTCCAGTGGTGCTGAAGGACACCCCAACTTGACAGTGCCAAGGCCTGGGCTCTGAAACGTCGCTGTTCCACAAAAGAAAGTTCAGTTGGACCGGTGGGGGGGGGGAGGGGGGACGGGCAGTGGTTGCAGACGCCTGTTGGAGAGATCTAAGCAGAGAGGATTCTCTGTGCGCTTGGCAAGTGTCCAGTTCAACAGAAAATCCTACCATTCCTCGGCCGTGCTGGTGAGTAAAGGTGTGCTGAGGCCTGTTTGCCTTCCTCTCTCCCCAGAGCCTTGCAGCCAGCTTTTCTCTGCACTTGGGCAAGACACGGTGATGCCCACAGAAGGGGCCGGTTTCTGACTGGCGGTGGGGGGCGGGGGGGAGAAGGGAAGGACTATGGAGGCTAAGCAGAGGCTAATCCTCAGGCCACAAACCCCTGCTCCGGGGGAACCGCAGGTCTCTGCCTCCTCTGGGGTTGGGGATTCCAACCCCAGACCTTCCTTCCTGGGGCCCTGGGAGGCCCTGGAAAGTGGAGAATCCCCAGCCCCACCTCTCCTGATGGGCTCAGAGTTACTGGGGCCGGCGCCCATACACCCAGGCCATCCGGAAGCTTAGGAGTGCAGAAACCACCTAGGCCACTCCTTATCTCATCATGAGGGAAATCCAAGCCCAGAGAGTGCACGAGACTTTCCCGAGGTCACACAGCCTGTGTAAAGGCCCAGAATCCTTTGAGGCAGAGCCGGACAGAAGCCACTGGTATCAGCCAGACTGTTGGTCACCCATAGCAGCAACTTTCAGGAAAAGGACCTTCCGGAATACTCCTGAGAGAAAGAGGGGTGTCTGAGGGAAATCGTAGAAAGGGGTCACGGGGGTTCACCTAAGAAGGGGAGGGTCATGGATCACAGTTTCTTCAAGGAAGGTAGAGAGCAGGGCTTCTGCCCTGACAGAATGCTAGAGGCAACATTCATCTTGTCCTCTGGCGAACGGTGCTCCCGAGAGTTCTGTCTTTTGTGCAGTGCACAGCCTGTGGGGCCTGGCAGGGAGGCCCCGTTAATGCAGTGCAGTGGGGGCGAGGGGTTGTCAGAGAAGAGGTCTCAGAAGGTCACGAGTACAAGGGTTCTCAAGTCTGGATTCCTGGGCCATTCCAGACCGACACAACCAGAACTCCCCCCTCCCAGGGGCAAATTCCTGGGTTTAGGAAGAGCCTGGGCTCACTCAGACAGGAACTGGGACGCCTGGCTTGGCTGGGAAGTTCAGCGGGCAGGGCCAGGCCCTAAGGCTGGAGAGGAGGCCCCTGGGAGATCGGCAGCTGGGCTTGGGAGCAAGGGGCAGCACCTGTTCCCGCTGCGCTGCGCGCCTCACTTCGCGGAGAACTGGCCCGGCCTCGCCTTCTCCAGCTTCAGGCGCCGCTCCAGGGGGATCTCCTGCAGGCTGATGCCGTGGTTGCTGGCCCTGCGGGGAGGGGGGCGGCGGCCTCAGGGAGGGGCAGGCGGAGGGCGGGGTCAGGCCGGGCGAAGGGGCCCGGAGGCTGGTTCCTCACCCCGGCTGCAGATCCGGCGGTTTGGGGATGGGCTTGTTGAAGCCGCGCCTGCCCACCAGCCAGTACGTGTCTTCGGCGCCCTTGCCCTGGAGAGACACGGGGCGGGGGGTGGGGGGTTAGGCGGCTGGGGCGAGGGCGGTGGATCTCGAGGTCTAAGTGGCACCCAAAACCCCCGAGGTTGCGGCCCAGGAGGGGGCGGGGCCGGTCTCACCTTCAGCTCGGTGCGGCCGCGCACCTCCGTCTGGAAGCCCTCGTCCAGGGCGCGGAGAATCTGGACGGTGCTGATGTTCACGTGGATGCGGTAAGCTGGGGCGACAGGGGACAGGGGACGTGGTGATTTCGGGACTGCCCTCCCGCGTCCCCCTCCCCGAGCCACTTCCCCCTCGCTCCGTGAATCGCCCCCCCCACCCCCGGACCCCGCCCCGCCCCACTCACGCAGCCCCGTGGACTCCATGCGCGAGGCGGTGTTGACCGTGTCCCCAAACAGGCAGTACCGCGGCATGGTGAGGCCCACCACGCCCGCCACGCACGGGCCTGCGGAGACGCGCAGGGTGGGTGGCCGTGCTGGCGGCTGGGTGGCACCTGGCACCTCGGGAGACTCTCTAGCGCCCCATCGTCTCCACCAGCTCCCCAAGGGTACCTCTCAATCACGACGGGGTGCCTGCCGAGGCGGCTTCACAGCAAGTCCCGCTGCCCCCGTCCCGTCCCCCCCCCCCCCCCCCCCCACCGCACGAATGTCCAGGGAATGGGGAACCGGCCCTAGACGGGGAGGGAGGGGGCCACGGGAGCCCGGGAGGTACCCGAGTGCAGGCCGATGCGGATGCGCACGGGCACCTCGGGCATGTGGCGCATTCGGAAGGAGCCCACGGCACTGAGGATGTCCAGAGCCATGTTGGCGATCTCCGCCGCGTGCCGCTGCCCGTTCCGCTGGGGCAGCCCCGAGGCCACCATGTAGGCGTCCCCAATTGTCTCCACCTGACGGAAAGGGTGGTGCAAGTCCGGTACTGAGCACCTCTCTCCCGCCAAGCGACTGTCCTTTGTCAGGCGGCCTAAGCTGGGGGTGCAGCGCGGGGATCCTGGGGAGGCTTCCAAATGGGGACGGGGGCAGTGGGGCTGAACTGGGGGCTGGCGGAGCTGAAGGAGGGTTGCTCCCCCCTCCCCCCCTCCCCGCTCCGGCACACCCCACCTTGTAGACGTCGTGGGAGCCGATGATGGCGTCAAAGAGCGTGTAGAGGTCGTTGAGCAGGTCCACCACCTCGATGGGCTCACTCATGGCCGAGATGGTGGTGAAGCCCACGATGTCGCTGAAGTACAGAGTCACCTCCTCAAAATACTCGGGCTCCACAGGTGTCCCCGTCTTCAGAGCCTCAGCCACAGAACTACGTAGGGTCGTCGGGGAGAGGGGGGCGGGCTTTAGGTGGAGGTCACGCCCCCGGCCGCCCGCGGACCCTCCCCCTCGCCCCCCTCCCCGCGGGCACGCACGGGGGCAGCATCTGCGTCAGCAGCCGGTCTGTCTTCTGCTTCTCCAGCTCCAGCTCTTCCGTGCGCTCCCGGATCAGGTCCTCCAGGTTGCTGGAGTACTGTTCCAGCATCCTCAGCATGGAGTCAATGATGTTCGTTTTCCGGCCCTTGTTGATGTTTTTGAACTGGTAGGGGGAGGCAGCCGGGGTGGGGGTGCGGGGGCTGTTGAGGACCTGGGCTGCCATGACCCCTGCGTGGGGCCCTCTTACGCCTGGCCCCCCGCGCCCCCCCCCCGGCAACCCCCCCCCGGCAACGTTTTAGCCACAGCCCCCCCCCCCCCCATGCCAGGCCCTGTGGCTTCACACACTAGGAGCCATACGGGAAATGGGGGGGTCCCAGAGGTCAGCTGCTCTCAGCTGGTAACTGACAAGACACTGGGGTTTGGACTCCCAGGCCGAGGGTCTTGTGGCCACACCGGGCCAAGCGATTCAAATGTTATTCGAATCGAGTGAAATATTTCTCCCACCCAGAGGTCTATCTCCTGCTCCGAAGGGCCCCGCAGCCCCCGTTCTAACTCTGTCCCCACCTAAATCCCAGTCCTCAGACTGCCCCTTGGGAAACGGCCTGGAGGTCAGAGGTCCCGCGAGTCTGCTTTCCTGAAGCCTCCCCGGGTTGCTGACAAGCGGCCAGCCCAGCCCTTGCCCAATGCCAGCCCCTGACCTGCTCGAAGGTGCGGTCCATGGAGGGCCGGAGGTCCGGCTGCTCCACCCAGCACTGTTTCATCAGCTGGATGCACTCCGTGGGCGCCTGGTCCACGGACACGGAGGGCCGGCACAGTGGAGGGGGACTTCGGACCCTCTCCACCACTTCTGGAGGCATGAGGGGACCAACAGAGGCCACCTCTGACTCTGGCCTGACTGTTGAAGCCCGCGATCAGAACTTCCGGAAGGAGGCGGGGAAGCGCGGGGAGGGAGGGGAGGGCGTTGCTGGAAGGAACGGGAGGATCCTGAACCCTGGGGGTGGGAGGGTGGAGGGCGCAGGGGGCGGTTAGAGGTGACAGGCAGAGCTAACATTTGTCGCAGTTGAGAGTGAGGGTTGGGGTGGCCCAGTAGCTTGCTGACTCCCGGATGGTAAGTCATAGGGATCTGAACCAGATCCCACTGCCTTCGCCCCCTTCCCCCGACACTGCTGCCTCCCTGCCGTCCCTAAGAACCAGAGGGGAGCCCGCTCCCTCAGCCGGAGGAGCAGGTTGGGTCCAGGATGAGGACAGAGACAACCACTGATGTCTGGGAGCCTAAGAGCCGCCCCCTCCCATCCTGACGCTTGCTCTCCCCGGCCCTGACCCTTGAGATCCACATAAGGGAGGCCCACATAATTAAGCCTCAGCTCCGGGCTTTAGGGCAGAGAGGCTGGGTCTGGCGAGAGGCTCTGCCGGGCCCGCAGGCTGGAAGCGCGACGCGAGCGAGCGAGCGTACCCTCGGCGGTCAGCTCCAGCATGGCGTAGGGGGCGCTGCGACACACGACCTCCTGCATGATGATGCCCAGGCTGAAGACGTCACCCGCCATCGTTCCCCTGCGCTCCAGGGCCGGGTCCCGAAGCAGCTCCGGGGCTGTCCACAGCTGGTCTGGGGTCGGGGGAGGGGGCGTGGGCATGCGGGAGGGCCTGGGGACGCTGGGGACAGACCCCCGCCCTAACCAAAAAGCCCAGGCTCGCACCCACTCACCAACTCCCAGCCCGAGTGTGGCCCCGCTGCCCGCAGCTATCCCCCGGAGAAACTACCAGAAACCCTACGCGGGTCTCCTAGAAAGCGCGGGCCTCATAAATAGGCCCCGCCCTTTATGTAAAGCGAGGCTCAGGACCCCGCCCCTCGGGCACAAGCCACGCCCCCTCGAGCCCCCGCCTCCCCAGTCCACTCCTCTTCTCCTCTCTGAGGTCCCGAGACCTGAGACCTTTACCGAGGCCGGGGCCACGTGCAGTGGGCGTGGGATGGAGAGGACGCGAAGGCGGAGGGACGGATGGATGGAGGGGCCCCTGAGATAACGGGGGTCCCGGGGATGCTCGTCCGCGCGGGAGGCAGCGGGGAAGGGGGCGGAATCCTACCCTCCGCGCTGGGAGGCTCCGGCAACACCCTCTGCGCTTCCAGCAGTCGCCCCTGACCGTGGTCGGTGACTTTCAGCACGAACCTCCCGTCCACCACGCAGTTCCGTGACTTAAGGCGCCCGTGGGCCACGCCTCGGTGGTGCAGATACCTCATTCCCTGGAAGGGGTGGGATACGAGGCGACCTGAGCCCTGCGGCTCCCCTGCCCCCTCTTCCCTGCCACCCCCGCACCCCCCCACCACCACCACCTTGATGAGGTCCAGGAGGAGGGAGGACTTGAACATCCAGTCCAGCTTTATGTCTCTCTGGGCGAGGAGGTCGTGCAGGGAGCCCCGGGTACAGTGCTCGGAGACCACGGCCAGCATGCGCTCCCCGGGGGCCATGGTGCCACCCGCTCCGCCGCCGAGGAAGAGCCCCAGGTAGAGGACAACGTTCTCGTGCCGCAGCTCCTGGAGCTGAGAGGGAGAGAGCCAACGGGCATTTTCTGCCCTGGAGGCACCGTGGATACCGTGGGGGTATCCAGGTCTGGTTTGGGGCATCCGCGCTCGGAAGGTGGGATGAGAGGGGTGACTGGAAAGGTCTATGGGGGCACGGGGTGGGGGGCGCTTTCTTCCAAGGCTAAGCTCTCTCTCCGGAACAGACACGTGGGTCAAAGGTCACCGTTGAGATGCTGAGTATGGTTTAGCTTAAAGTCATATGGGAAGAGACTACCTTGCACTGGTAACCAGGAGCCAGGCAGGTTCTCCCCGAGGCCACACACGGCCGTGCGGGCCACGGCCCAGGCCTGCTTTGCTCATGTCTGAGACTCCCAACATCCCCGAGGCAGGGAGGAAGGGACTGAGCAGTCACACTGTGGTGCTAGCGGGGCACATGCCACAGGACAGGCGCCCTCACAATCCGAGCATGCTGGGAAATGGGGGCCAGCGGGTGACCAACTTTCCTTTGGTCCAATAAGGGGCTTCCCTTCATCCTAGATGCCTGCGGTTAAGTGGTGACTTAGTCTGGGGACCCTAAGTCATTCTGCAGCTGTGACCGAGAGCTTCTGTGGAGGCGTCAGAGGAGGCCAGGCGGAGGCTGCACGATGTAAGGGGGGGCCTCGAGGTGGGACGATCAGAACAAGCCCGGCCACCGCCTCCTTGCCAGCTTTCCGCTTCGCCCAGTAGGCATTATCTGACTCTTGCTTTTGGCTCAGGTCGTGATCTCATGGGTTCAGGGGATCGAGCCCCACATGGGGCTCTACACTGATGGAGCCTGTGTGGAAATTTCTCTCTCTCTCTCTGCACCCCCCTCCATGCGTGCTCTCTCTCTCTCTCTCAAAAATAAATAAACATTAAGAAAAAAATGGAAGAGCATAACGGGACACCTGCTTTGGGAGAGGGCACTTCCACTGAGACCTGTTGGTCTCTCCTAGATTCGGGTCTATCTCTGTCCCCAGCTGCAAAGAGAAGGTCCAGAGGGAAGGAAATGATGGCCACCCCACACCCCACACCCCACCACGGGCTCCACGCTCACCTTGGAGAAGGCTGTCCTGGTTGCTGGGCGGATAGCTATGTGCTGATCCCCTGGAAATTTCTTCAGCCAAACCCAGTCTCCCTGGAGCAGAGATGGGAGTAGTTTTTTGTTGTTGTTTTGAGAGAGAGAGAGAGAGAGAGAGAGAGAGAGAGAGAGCATGCGCACAAGCCAGGGAGAGGGCCAGAGGGAGAGAGAGAATCTTAAGCAGGTTCCACGTTCAGCAAGGAGCCAAATGTGGGGCTCGATCCCACAACCCTGGGATCGTGACCTGAACTGAAATCAAGAGTTGGACGCTGACTGAGCCACCCAGGCGCCCCAGAGATGGGAGCAGTGAACTCAGTTTCTGAAAAGCCCGTGAGGTGAAAAGCCACAGAGCCCCCACGTTTCCACTGGCCTACTGCCTCGGGACACATCCTGCCTGTGACGCAGAGGTTCAGAAGCAAAGCGTTTGACATCCGTCAGTCCACTTCACAGCTGGTGGGGATGGGGGCCACCCTCGCGTGGCTGTCCTCACCAACGCAGACGCACCCACCCACAGCCTTAGTAAGCAAGCTGTTAGCACCACAAATGTCATTGAGGCCACAGCCCTCCTCACCATCTGTTGCCCTGAGAGAGCACTGTGCTGGGAGTCAGGAGTCTGGGGAGATCAGGCTTTTATGACAGACTGACTGTGACGCACAGGCAGTTCCCCTCCAGGCTCGGAGCCTCACTGTCCTCAGCTGTGGGTAGGGCTGGTCCATGGGAACGCGGTCCCATCGGGCCCCATGCTCACGAGGGCCTGTGCTTGGTTCAGCCGTCTGCTCCACCGTCCTGAACCAACAGGGAGCCCTTCGGTGTCATTCTGCCTTAGACCCTGCAATCTCTGTAGCCGGCCTCGTCTGTGGGTGAGGGGTTTGGCCGCACTGGCAGGAGATTCTGGTGGTTTGGTGTCGACTCCTAACGAGCCTTTGGAAATACATAGGGGACATTCTTAATTGTCCCCAAAACTGGGAGATGTGCTTTGTGGGTGGGACAAGAGACGCTAAACGTTCTTCAAGGCACAGGGTCGGCCCATTCAAATGATTAACAACAACTTCCCCCAGTGACAAGTGGCCGTGGTGGCCTGTAGGTGACATATTGGGACCCTCTGCACGCTCTGTGGGACCTGACATCTGGAAGCTCCAAGCCTCCACCCCGCTCTTGATTAGCTGAGCTCCCTCAGCTCTTTCTGGGTCTGTCGTGATTCCCAGACATCCTACAGCATTCAGATTTGCTGACCCATAGTGAAGGTCCTAATGCCCTTCCGTGACTTTCTCTTTCCATCCCCTGTAAGCTCACGGTTCCTGAGTCGGATCTGAATGGGGTGGAAACGCTGGGTAGGACCAGGACGCGGGTCTGTCTGTCCTGAGTCAGGATAGCCCCGTCTGGGACCTCCCCATCCTGAACAACCCGTGTCCTGGAAATGTCCTTTTTGTGACCACGATGCCGAATCCCAGATGCCCCAACCTTTCCAGGGAGGCCCACGCCCTTCAGTAGCCTGAAGTCTTGGATCAACGGAGGGGGCAGGGCCAGGGGCTCCCAACGGGGAGGGGGATGGCTTCGGTGGCCACACCGGGCTGCATGCTGGTGCCGGAACACCCCCCACCAGGCAGGCCTCCGGCCTCGGAGCCACCGTGATTGGCCTTTGAGGAGCCCTCATCTGGATAAAGGCTAAGGGAAAAACCCTGGGGCAGGAAGGATTCTCAGACGCTCCCCTTTGGGGAACCCGTGACCTCTTCCTAGAGCCCATTCTGGGCTCCTATCACCATTTTCTGGAGCCCGCGGGATATGACGCAACTCCAGGAATAGAGCTCGGCCTGGACGGGGTAAGGCTCACCTCGTAGAGGCCAACGTTGGCGCTGTCCGCGGGCTGGCTGGGGACGCTGCGAACGTCTGACACGCTGTGTGCACCCAGACTCGATCGGCTCCCCTGGACCACCTGGAGGGTAGAGGTCAACGCAAGGGATCAGAATTTACTGTGGGGTCAGAGTCCTGGGTTGAGGTCAGGCTGAGTTCCAGGGATTACAGAGGGAAGAAATCTTAATTAGGGGAAGACGATACTGACATTATACTTCCCAATTACGCTGCGGTTTACAGTTTACAAAACAAACCAGCGGGTTTGTTTGGAGCTTCTCGCTGTCCCAGGAGAGCAGCCGGGACAGGGCTGGTACTCTCACTGCACATTAAGGGTGCTGATCCCCAGAGCTCAGACCTGAGAGGGAGCCAGGGCAGAAACGAGGCTTTCCTCGGGGCTGGGGTGAGGGCTGGCCCAGGCAGGGGAACAGATATACAGTGGGGAGCTGGCTCCCTGCCAGATAGCCCCTGCCTCCCTGCCTCTCCCACCTTTCGAGAGCTGCCCCCTTGCGGGTGGAGGAAGGTGATATCGTCCAGAGTCAGGATGATCTTGTTGGGGCCAGAGACCATCTGGATGTGAATTAGACGATGCCTGGTAGGGAAAGGACGTCATCTGCTCAAAAGGGACCAAGGTCCAGGACAGGAGGCCAGCAAGGGATAATGTTGGCTCAGGGGAGAGCAGTCATCCCCAAACCAGACAGCCCCTGGTCTGCCACCCCCTTGAGGGCAACCCCATGTTCCCCATCTTCCTTTTTTTTTTTTTTTTCCTACTCTTGAGTGGGCCCAGCCTGCTGTCTTTGCTGCACAGACGCATTTCTGGCAGGTGGACAGGCAGGCTCATCCCTTACCTACCCCACTCCCATACTCACCTCACATAATGGGCCAGGAAGGCCCCTGTCAGCCCCATCCCAACCACCAGGAGGAAGCCGATAAAGACGAGGCCGGGCTCCACTCCTGGAGAGGCAGTGAGAGGGGGGACTCTGAGGACCGTGGCCAGGGGGAGGCACCCTGTCTATGGGGGGATGGAGTCGTGTCAAATCCTGGAGGCCCTAGGAAAGGTGGATGGGAGCCCAAAACGAGATCTAGGGAAAGGTCGTGGGTTCTGCAAAAGGGAGCGTCTGGAAGGTTCCAAGAGGGCTTTGGGGGCTTGGCAAGAGACAGGTTCCGCACAAGCCAGGGGTCTGAGGAAGGACCTGGAAGGAGTTCCAGGACGAGAGTTCACTCTCTTTCACCACTTAGTGGAGGCTCCACGGTGACTGTCCCAGTGGGGGCTGGGGTGCTCGCCCTCACCTCCGTTGCAGATGATGTCTGGCTCGAACCAACACGAGGGGTCAGGCCCGGGTCCTCCTCCCCCTCTAGGGAAATGCACCGGGGTCCCAGCCGAGCGGAGGGAGCCCCGGGTTGGGTCCAGCACGTATGTGGCGAACAGCTGGTCCCCCGCCGCGTCCGTGTCCAGCAGCACAAACGGGGGCTCCTCGGCTCCTCCCAGGGCCCCGCAGAAGCCGGGGACCTGGGCGTCCTGGATGTGGCGGGCCACCGCTGCTCCGGACACCCAGCCGCCCCCTGCGGCCGCCCGCGCTCGCGCCACGCCTCCCGCCAGCAGGAAGATCGAGTCGTAGATGGTGCCGAAGAGTGGGGACACCTGGGGGAGGGCAGTAGGGGCTCAGGGTTGGGGTCACCGCTGGCCCACCTAGCCTTGCACTGCTTCTCTCCAGTGCTCAGGCCCCTCGTGCATAGACCGTTCACACCTCGTTGGTGCTTCCCCGATCCCTCAGCTCAGCGCTCTCTCCTCCCCTCTCCCCATTGGCTCTCCCTTCCTCTCTCCCCA